AATATCATAATAAGATATTATACTGTTGACAATGATCATATCGATGAAACAATCAGTTGACAACACTCGAACAATTCCTAAGACCTTGATGAATATGAAGAGCACTATCAATGTGCTTCTTCTCACAAACCATAAATATATTCGTTAAAATAATCCATCAAAAGAAAAAGTAAGAAACCTGAATAACGGATCGCGGTGAATAAGATGAATACCAGAGTGGAATACCAAAAATAGACTCTAAACGTGATGTTTCTTTGTAGGTTTCTGTACAACGCGTACTTATTATCGAGCCACCTGAACGCAACACTCAAATCACTATTGAATGAAGTCGAATACGAATGATCATTCTGCAGACAATCACTCAAACATTCTGCAGAATATCGCCTTCCGGATGGAATCGCTTCGATACATATTGCACAATCACAGTAATTTGTGTTTTGTAAAATATTCCTCGTAACAAACCTGAACTTTCAAGCGCATAATCCACTTTGCCCGTCTTATCGGCATCGTAAACCCTCAGTGCATCCACAATCAAATTTCTTACCACCAATAAATCTGATTCCGACAAATGATTTGCTTCAGTTTTATCCTTTAAATAGAAAACTTGTGCATATTTAAAACTTGTGCGAACTTGAACTCGTATTTCAGGATAATTCAGTGACAACTGATCAGCGCAATGGCGCCTTCATCATTTCAGAACATCATTAGGTCAGAATTAAGTACCTTTTCAATGATCTTCTCTTCATCGTTGCCCGACTCATGTACTGTTCTGGCAACTTGTGCTGCGAACAAAGTCATAACACGATTTTCGATCTGTTTGTAAATATCTTCACGAACCGACTCCATCTCATTTTCAGACTTTTCACTTAAGTTTGATAATTCTGAACGTAGATTCTGAAAGTATTCGTCATTTATTATCGCAGATGAATTGTAACATTCATCTTAGAACCATATGAAGAATGCTGATCTCCTGTTTACATTACATTCTTTGTGAAATATTCGAAACACCGGTGGATTCTTTAATCATTACTCTGGTCAAATATTACTGAAGAAGACAGAAAAGTGTAAAAATGACCCTTGCGACTTCATCCTTGATCAAATTATTGATTTGAAGTTGAATTTGTTTGATGTCTTCAGATTGTCCACTCTCTATTATCATTACGGAATGTGCCAACTGCGTTAACTTTTCATCGCGTTCTCTACGGAACTGAAATTTATTTCCTAGTCAAAATTTAAATATTACTATTATATTATTGCAATAAGCAATAATATTATTTCGATATTTTATTTCATTTGATTTCGTTTCAGAATAGTCAAAATTTAGTTGAATGAAAAAATTT